TGTGTGTGTGTGTGTGTGTGTGTGTGTGTGTGTGTGTGTGTGTGTGTGTGTGTAGAGAGAGCGAGAGAAAGAGAGAGAAAAAATTATAAATATAGAAAATGGCATTAAGGTGTCAAATTTGTATTCTAGCTATAATAAATTCTATAATTCGCTCTCTCTCTCTATATATATATATATGCGTGATATCGTGCCACGGAGTCAACCGGATTGTGTGGAAGCGATACATAAGTGTTTATTGTCGCTAGACAGCCATATAGCGCCTACCTGTTTCCAATAGATTACCTCTCATCTATTCTGAGGCTGTGATAAATGATTCATCGATGCAATATATATTTAATTTTACGCGAATGTATTATTGTATTGAGTTTTCAATGATTCGTGCTTCAACCGTGATAACGAATAGTGTATTGCAAATAGCTAACTGTAAAAAATATTCTGCTACCTTTACTGTAAGCAATACGCGCCTACACTTACTATTACTACGGAAGGAGATAATAATATAAGCCGAATGATTATAGTTGAAGAGATGTGTAGTGTTCTTGTTCATACCCAGCGTTCTTGTTTATAGCTAGCGTTCTTGTTCCTACCCAGCGTTCTTGTTTATAGCTAGTGTTCTTGTTCATACCTAGTGTTCTTGTATATAGCTAGTGTTCTTGTTCATACCTAGTGTTCTTGTTCATACCTAGTGTTCTTGTATATAGCTAGTGTTCTTGTTCATACCTAGTGTTCTTGTTCATACCTAGTGTTCTTGTTCGTACCTAGTGTTCTTGTTCATATCTAGTGTTCTTGTTCATACCTAGTGTTCTTGTTCATACCTAGTGTTCTTGTTCGTACCTAGTGTTTTTGTTCATACCTAGTGTTCTTGTTCATACCTAGTGTTCTTGTTTATAACTAGTGTTCTTGTTCATACCTAGTATTCTTGTTTATACCTAGTGTTCTTGTTCGTACCTAGTGTTCTTGTTCCTACCCAGCGTTCTTGTTTATAGCTAGCGTTCTTGTTCCTACCTAGTGTTCTTGTTCATACCAGCATTCTTGTTCATACCTAGTGTTCTTGTTCATACCTAGTGTTCTTGTTCGTACCTAGTGTTCTTGTTCCTACCCAGCATTCTTGTTTATAGCTAGCGTTCTTGTTCATACCTAGTGTTCTTGTTCATACCTAGTGTTCTTGTTCATACCTAGCGTTCTTGTTCATACCTAGTGTTCTTGTTCATACCTAGTGTTCTTGTTCATACCTAGTGTTCTTGTTCATACCTAGTGTTCTTGTTCATACCTAGTATTCTTGTTTATACCTAGTGTTCTTGTTCTTACCTAGTGTTCTTGTTTATACCTAGTGTTCTTGTTCTTACCTAGTGTTCTTGTTCATACCTAGTGTTCTTGACCATACCTAGTGTTCTTGTTCCTACCTAATGTTCTTGTTCATACCTAGTGTTCTTATTCATACCTAGTGTTCTTGTTCATACCTAGTGTTCTTGTTCCTACCTAGTGTTCTTGTTCATACCTTCTTGCGGATATAATGTTATTATCTGTCAACAGAACAATTCGACCCATGTAAAGAATGCCACGCGTACGCATTGTTTCACACTTCAGCCTAAAGAGCTAGCATTTATTCACGTAATGATAAAAACTCTACAATTTTATAAAATCCGTGTTTCCCCAGTAGATAAATGCGCACCATGCATGACGTCATATATGAGATCTCGTTATGCAACAACTAACAAAATCCCGACTTAACAGAATATTATTCGAAATATATGTATCTGCGCACACAGTCACGCTGTATATATCTGCCACAAAATCTCTTCTTCGTAAAGAAATATCTGCTCTTCTGAAACACACTTCGTCAACAACAATCAATATTCCGATACCGTTCAACTTGACTCTTGAAATGATAAAATAATCTCTATTTCACACACAAATAATCGAAGCACACGCGTGTACGCTTTGTAACATACACACAACGACTTGTAACTAAAGGCGCGCGAGAACACCGCTGCTAAAATAAAATGACGTCATGCCAATATGGCCGACGGCATCAAGCTGCCATGTTTGCTCCGGTGGCTTCCGCACATCGTAGAAATTAGAGGCAAAATCACGAAATATCGGCGATGGCAAACTTATATAGTCAGGGTGTCTCGCGCGTAAAAAACAATCAAATCAATCAATCAATCAATTAACCAATCAATTATTATTCGTCGCCATAATCGAAAAGCCAACATGCGCGTATAGATATATTCGCGTATATGTGTATATATATATAAAGAGTAAAATCCAGACGACCGACCGAGCATTCTAATCCCCGTTTCTATGACTACCTCGATAGATTGCGACCATATTTACAAGATGCAAGAGCTCCACGATGCGCGCGCACACACAAACACACATAGCGGCAAATGTGGAAACTAATATAGTGTCATCATCATCATCATCATCGTCATCATTATCATCATCATTATCATCATCATCATCATCATCGTCATCGTCATCATCATCATCATTATCATCATCATTATCATCGTCATCATCATCATCATCATCATCATCATCATCGTCATCATCATCGTCATCATCATCATCGCGTCTGTGACAGAGACAGATTGGTTAGCATAAACATTCATATGCGTACGTATATGTGTTGTGTATATATATATAACATCAGTGAACGCGTATTTGGCTTAAGCTGGGATACAGAAACCACGATGTGTTAGTGCTGTAAATGAAGAAGGAGACTGCATACTTACAGATGTCTATAGCAGCTCGTGAATGGACCGACCCCGCGGCTGTTACAACACGCCAACACGCTAACATATCGCTATACACGCTAACATATCCGCGCTACCAATGATACAGCTACTGGCTCTCATGTGACATTACTAACAATACATATATATATATATCGAGGTCATATCGTGTAATGTTGCGGCGTGCGGACGTGTGACGTAGTCGCGCATGCGCTGTAGTGACATCGTACAACGTTCGTCTGTACCCAGGGATTTGGCTTATAGCCACAGGCCACAATTCTTCATCATCACCATCTTCTTAATTCTTCTTGTTTTCGCTCGTCTCTCTGCTTTCAAAGCATTTTACTCGATTAGTTAGGATCTATTGCACTTCTCCGAAGCGGTTATCAAGAGAATTAAACCTCTATGCTCACAAAATATGCTATTACCTATTACGAGGGACGTTATCGTTACTATCAATATATATATATATTTATTTATTTATTTATTTATATATAAACACGAAGACGTTTTAGGGGGAACGCATCGTGCCGCAATAAAACATTTATAAAATGCAACTCCTTTGCGTTGGGAAAGCCAAGGGAAGTGTCCCTAGAAGGCACTGTATGAATCCAGTATGAACACAAATGCAGATACGGTGAGGTGTAGGCACTCGACTATAACAAATCTACCCTGTATAAATGCAAGCTAAAGAGTCACGCCCAAATATTTCCTTCGCTCGTCCAGTTGCGTCGAGACAGTTGCGGTTGCGTAAGTACGTGTGTCAACTCTCGCGACAAGGACGTGTCGCGCGGGCAAGGAACGCCGTGACAGATAAACCCCGACTTTATAGAACGTCGTCTCCGCTCTTTCTTTCAGTCTTCCTTCCCTCTTTCTTTCAGTCTTCCTTCCCTTTTCAGCGTTGTCTCAGCATATCAGTAACACGCGCATGTATGCGACAATGCACATGCACAATTTCAAAACACTATGTAAAATCCACCAAATACACTTATATACACATCTCAATCGTACGTTATACAGTCCTGCACTGTGGGGGGGGGGACGTAGGGAGTGGACATGACATCTTTAGATCGTATCCGCTATTATAGAACGATGACGTATAATGTCTGCCGTGAGTGAGTGAGAGACATCAAGATATCAGCGTGATGACGTTACAGCTCGATGAACGTGACGTCATACATGTCGTCTGCGGGAAGGTGAGTGATATCGACTGTGAAGCAGTCCTCGTTGTGATAATGTCTCAACATGACGTCATCCATCTTCACCGTGATGCTGTAACGTAGAAATAGAAAACAAACACGTGACCTCACTGTCGATCTAAATGCTCTCTTGTCGCCACGGCGAAACGCAGCAAAATATGCAAACATAGAAAAAGTCTTCCGTCACTTTTCAAAGTAACATGCATTGTTTTTCACTCTTTTTTTTCTCAAAAGTATACACGTAGATCTTTACTTACTCTTTCTTACACCGCTTGAAAATGTCCCTAATCTTCTCCTTCGGAGTTCTGAATCTTTCTTCAATCTACAGCGAACATGGAGAGAGAGAGGCGATTGTTACTCACCACAGGAACAAACGGAATAGACCTCAAGCGACCGTAACGACGGATGTCACCAACGCATCAAACACGACAACGAAACAATATGTATAATATTAATGAGATTTTTAATCGATATGCTTCTGTCGATCACTCTTCGATTGATTGGTAATACGTGATCGGTAAATACTTACTCCTTGAAGAAGTCCCATTAGGTTCGGAGGTACAACGTGCAGTGGGCTAAACACTTTATCGTTCTCTTCCTTAACATAGAGCATTACTGAAAAATCAAAACACAAAGCATAATGAAGTATGCTCGCATATAGCTTAGAGTCTAATTAAAAAAAAAAGCTAAACCAGCCTTCGGCGGTTGCAACTGGTGTTTTTGTCAAGTCGTCATTCAATCTGTGTACTGGAATGTCATTATCCAGTCAGACCGGTTTTTTAATTTCAAAGTTTAGAGAAGAGGAATCCGACGTGGTAAAGTGGGAAGCGATTAGAATGCGAGAGGGCAAAAGAAAAGGCGGAGAGGGAATAGAGTAGAGGAAGAAGAAAGGAGAAGTAGAAAGAGGAAGAAAGAAAGCGGAAAAGAGAAAAAAGAGGGAGAGGAGGTAAACGAGCAGGAAGGGGTGACGGAGGGGGAGTAGGGGAAAGAGGAGGAGTAGGGGGAAGAGGAGGAGTAAGGGGGAACAGGAGGAGTAGGGGGAAGACGACGAGGAGGAGGAGATAGAAGAGGAGTAGTAGGCGGATGAGGAGGAGATAGAGAAGGAAGAGGGGGAGAAGCAGCAAGAGAAGCAGCAGCAAGAGGATGATGAGGGGGAGGGAGACGGAGAGATCGAGAGAGAGAGAGAGAGAGAGAGAGAGAGAGAGTGTGTGTGTGTGTGTGTGTGTGTGTGTGTGTGTGTGTGTGTGTGTGTGTGTGTTAGCGCCTACCTCTCTCGTCCTCGTTAGGCCTGCGCTTCTTGGCTGGTGGAACCAGAAGCTCTGATTGGGTGAGGACCTCCTCCAGTTTGTCATTGTTGCCGTGGTCGGGGCTGGAGTAGGCGGTGTGACAGCTATCCGTCATCGGACTCCTGTCATCGCCACTGCGCAACGAAACGCGGATGCTCATTACGTAATACATGCGTGCGTGCATGCAGGAGTACATGCTTGCGTGCGTACGTGCGTGCGTGCGAGCGTGCGTGCGGGCATGCATGTGTGCGGGCGTGCGGGAGTGCGTGCATAAGTGCAGGCGTGCGTGCGCGCGTGTGCGTGCGTGCGTGCGGGAGTGCGGGCATGCATGAGTGCAGGCGTGCGTGCAGGCGTGCGGGTGTGCGTGCGTGCGGGCGTGCGGGCGTGCGTGCAGGGGGGCGTGCGTGCGTGTGTGCGTGCATGCAGGTGGGAGGCTGAGTGATTGTAGGTGCGCGTGTGTGTGCACGCAGTGTGGGCGTATACTAACGTTTCTTATTACCTAGCTAACCGTATAGTACATCTTTGCTACACAACAAGGGACACAAATCACATGCGTTTCTTTGCAGCAAGGAAAAAAACACGTCCCGAATATGCTTACCTCTGCAAGACATCCGATGGCACCATAGCCGGAAGTGACGAGGAAGGCTCCTGGTAGTAAGCGACCTCTACCGGCACGACCTACAACAACGATGAAGGTTACAAAACGCAATTCTACCAGCAAGTTGTTTACAAACAGAGTCTTGTTTGCGCTCTCGAAACAAACGTAGTTGCGGTGAAAGCGCGAGAGCGCGTCTGTATGCTAGAAACGTCAGTTAGAGACTGTCGACGCGTCAGCGGCGATGACCCAGGCAACAATAACAGCAGCTGCCGCAGAGACTTACGATAGCATACCATGATGAATCATCGCCGAGTATTGTGATATGAAAGGTTATATATGATTTATGCATGGATGTGTGTTTGTGTGTGTGTGTGTGTGTGTGTGTGTGTGTGTGTGTGTGTGTGTGTGTGTGTGTGTGTGTGTGCGCGCGCGCGCGTGCGTGAACTGTGTTATAACACGCGGCATAGGTAGGCATTGGCGTACGTACCCCTGGTCGCTGACTATCGGAGGGTGAGAACAGACACGGTCTCTTAGCGAGGTCACTCATCGAGTAAAACTCAGATCTCTCCATCGGTGGGTGATACATATCCTCAATCTTCTTTCTTGCAGCTGGGAATTTGTGGAGAAAAGGCACGCGTTGATCAGCAACAATCACTAGTTAGTATGTATTAAATTCAGTAAGTAGTATGACTATTGTTATTTTATATTTTTGGATGAATTCAGGGGTATGATTTATATAATATTATCTCTAAAACATAAAAAAAATTATTTATTATTAAACTGAATAATGGAGATAAATCACGCTAGTTCAATATACTGTGCATAGGAGATGCGAAACACGTCATAACTGCCACGTCACAGCGCAGCCACGTCATCACTTAATCATGTCATACTTACAAGTCGACGCCATCTTGCGCTTCGATGCGCGTCTCTCTTCGTCTCGGGTTTTCCGCTCAGCACCCTGCAGAACACAATAATTGCACGTGATTACACTAGCAGGCAAAACTATATCTAACAGGTCATTTACAGGCACGCTTAAATTCATCTTTGTTTTGATACAGATACCACCCAACATTCTGGAAAACAACACAATAATCTGCCTCGGGGTGAAATAAACCGATTCAATTAAATGTTGTAAAAAATTCTCTTTGTATAATTTCTCTTGTAATAAACAAAAAGTACACGTTACTGTTTCAATACCCCCCCCCCTATTCAAGCTGTTATCGCAATTGCCTCAGGTTGCCACCAAGACAGAGCACGAAATTAAGCTATATTTAACTATAACACTAAGCTAATTAATACATTACTATATAACTATAACGGTATACTAACGATATCTAATACCGAATGTTATGGGTGTAGTTGAGAATCATAGAATGCTTACCGGGCCACCTGGCCGTATGCGTGCGTGTGGGGTAAGAAAGAAAATGCACTACAAGGCATGTAATACCAGGACATAACGGATGTTCATATTACATTAAATTACATTGTCTGGGAAATTATTGTATTCTAATTTCGACCGCCGATTCATGCCAATGGATTGATAACATTAAAATGAAAATATAGAACATGGTGTCATAAAGTTATTGCATAGAGTGATTCTGTCCACATCATGAGAAGGAGACGCTGTCTCGATAGCTCACTTCATATGCGATAAAATATGTGACACCGTATTCTATATTTTTAATTTATTATTTTACATAAAAGAATAATATCTTTATAAATGAACGAATTAATAAAGATGAATAACTAAATAAATAACTAAATAAATAAATATATATATATATATATATATATATGAATATGTGTATATATATATAAAGAGTAAAATCCAGAC